ATATATATATAATACATGCTAGAGCATGAAGTCTATACATGTTTAGAATTCTTATATCTTCTTGGTGAGCTTTTCATTTTTAAGTTGTGACTATGTGTATACCTACCAATGCTTTGTCTGATATAGACAGTTACCCCAGTTTTCTTTTGGATAATATCTACCTGATAATCTTTCCCCATAATTCTACTGTTAACCTTTCCAGGTTGCTATGTGTTAGGTATGTCTCCTATAAATAGCATATGTTGGACACTGTTCCTATTCAATCTGACAATTTATCTTTTCATTCCCCAAATTAGTTTATTTGATTGATATGTTTAAACTTACTTCTATTCACTTGATTTCCTGCTTTATATTTCCCCCCACTTTTTCCACATTTTTTCTTGCATTTAAAAAAAATGACTGAGCTGTTTTGGTTGTTTTAGTTTTTCCTATGCCTTTCACCATCCCACCAACCATGATTTTATAAGTTGTGCGTCTCTTTAAAGATTCTTTTAGAGCTTAACTTTGAAATATTAGCATGCACACCCAGCTTAGGGGCTAAAGTTAATACCTTGTCCTCCACTACAAAACAATGATCTGAGAATACTTTAATACCAATTGTACTTTTCTCTTGATTACATGATGTCATTGTGTGATATTTTAGGTATAACCTTTGAAACCTACATTATACATTATTATTACCACTAGAGGCCCAGTGTACGAAATTTGTGCACTGAGGTGGGACCTAGGCCTGGCCGGTGATCAGGGCTGATCAGGTTCCCTTGCCTCCCTGCCTCCCCGCCTCCTCCTTCCCTCGCTTCCTCAGCATTCCGCCGCAGCTGCCAATGATCATCCACCATGTTCTGCGCCGCCCCTGGTGGTCAGCATACATCATAACGAGCGATCGAACTCCCAGTGTCTTGGTCGAACGCCGGAGGGCACAATTTGCATATTAGCCTTTATTTTATAGGATTAGCTCTTATGATTTGAATTCTCATTATTAATTACAGTCTGGAACCCTTTGGGGGATGTTCCCCTGTGACATCCCTCTTGCAGTCTGGGACCCCTTGCTCCTTACTGCCCGCCTGCTCACTGCTCCTTACCACTCAGCTCGCTGCTCCTTGAACCCAGCTTCTGGGTGAGCAGCGTTCCCCCTATGGTAGCTCACGGACCACCTCATTGAGTGTCTGCCCCCTGGTTGCCAGTGTGCATCATAGTGACCAGTCGTTCTGGTCGTTCCACTGTAAGGGTTGCTTAGGCTTTTATTATATAGATTATTATTATTTATAAGTTGTTGTTTGGAGTTCCCACAATATTTCTAATTTGTTCAACATTCCTTCTTGGATCTGGAATATTTCTAAAGAACATCCTTTAGAAATTTCTTTGTATACATATGTTTGTAGTAAATTCTTTTTGGTTTTGCTCATCTAAATATTATATGTTTGAAGAGTTGTTTTGCTAGGTATACAATTTGTTGTTATTGTTTATCAGCCCATTGAAGATATTATTTCTACTCTTTTCTGACTTTCCACTGCTGCTAAGAATGCTTATCATACACATGCAATTTCTATTACCTCTCTGATACAGCCAGAGAAGTGAAAAACACAATTGTGTCAGACAGGTCTGGGTTCAAACCCTCGATCTACCACTGAATAGCTGAGGTCAGTTCTTCACTCCTCCAACTGTGGGCAGGGAATTCTGACACATCCCTTACCTCTGGTCACAGTCCTATGGCTACTTTGGTCAACAGAATCCCAGCAACAAGGACTCAAGGTTTCCTTGTGTGCATTCCGGCTTCCTCTTCCACCTCTGCTTTGCCATCAGAACAAACCAGACAGGCCCGCTGATGGGCTGTGGGAGACACTGGAGGACAGCCACCAGCTGTCCGCTCAGACATACACATTTGGTTAAGTTGGGAAAGTCAGACAATCATACAGCCAACCTGTACACTCACCAACTAAATAAACAGTTACTGATTTCAGCCACTATTAGCATGGTTTGTTATGCAGCATTCTATGGCAGAAGATAACTGATACAGCCTGTCTCCGTCATCTCTCTACTGTCAGGCCCTGCGGCTGTGTTTGGTACTAGAGACCCATGAGGAAGGCTTTGATGTCACCATCCCTTCTCCCAGAGGTGGAATGAGACATTTATGTTTGCATCCACTCCCCCACCCACATACCTATCATAGCACCTGTCATATTCTTTTACATTTATTTCCTTACATGTTTCACTTCTCCTCTAAGCCATGAAGGACTTGAAAGTAGGAAGTACATATGTTATTTGTATCCATATCTACAGCACCTGGCACAGAACAGGCCCTCACTGAATGTTTTTGTTTGAATTACATGACTGAATTTCGGGAACCCACATGAACCACAACGACTGGCAGCAGGTGGCAAGAATAACTGCACAAGCTGGTTCTGATGCCAGGAGACCTTCTGCTTTCCAGAAAGCCCAAACAAGAAGAGAAAGAAAAAACCCACCAACAACAAAGGAGAAAGGCACATTCTTTCTAGTCCCCTTGGCTTATCTGCCTTCTCTCTCTCACCACAGGCACACAAAGCTCAGAGCCATTCACCCCCCCCCCCCCCCCGCACAGGCCGCTGCGCGCCGCAC